GATCTCCACTTTCACCTGTACAAAAACGGAAAACAAAAGTCTTGTTATCAGAGTGGCCTTAGCTATCAGCCCCGCAGGTGAAGGAAGGCTGAGGAAACACCCTCACATCCCTGTCCATGCAGCTGATCTCACATAACCAGTACTTATGTAGGCTGTCCTAAGAGTGAGGCACTTAACCAGTACTTACTACGTAGGCTGTCCTAAGAGTAAGGCATTGCTCCTGAATAAATATAATCAACATCTTACTTGTTCACATATTTTGGGAGCAAAGGTAAGGCAGAGAAAAGCCCTTGTTTCACAGAGCTTATTATGATCATACTCTCACACTAGAATGGGTGTGGGTTTTCTTCACAATAAACCCATAATCACCACAATTAGAAGTGATAAAACAAAAAGAAAAATATATCATGGCAGGATCATAAATCCTAAAAGCTCTTTGCTCTGAATTAGGGAGGACCCTTCCCAGAATCCTGCTTATTTGGAAAACTGGAAAATTCTAACAATCACCAGAAATGGTTTTGTTTCCCTTAGGTGTCCCGACTTCCCTCTGTACCAAGAGATGATCACAGTCCTCCAGCTGATCAGGCTGGATTAGATAGCAGGAGAAAAAAATTAAATACTTATTCCCCTGGCTTCTTACACACTCATTAAATATATATTCCGTCAGCACACTTGTCCAAAGTGCTATGCATCTCCCACCGCTGGGGCAATGATGTCCATTCTAAGGCCTAAGTCTTCTCCATTTACCCATGGCCAGTCTGGGTCTGTTGTCCAGCCTCTGTATTCGCAGGCGAGAGCTCAGGCTTCAGCTCTGTTGTGTTTGCAGACCCATAAATGAATGCTTTGCTCTCTCACAGAAGTCTGTGCTGAACCTGAGGATGAGGCGAACAACCCATGTTCATTCATTCATTGATACTGTTTCTGAGCACCTGCTGCATGTCCCCAAGGAGACACCAGTATACAAAAACATAATTTAAGTGAAGATAGGGAGGACATAGACCACAGATATTCTACGTGTCAGACAGTGCGTGCTACCAAAAAGGCAGATAAGCAGGCAGAGAATGACAAGCATGTAGGGCTAGTGTAGAGCAACGGTCAAGAAAGGATACTTTAATAAGGTGACTTTTGAGCAGGCATCTGGAATATCTCAGAGTGGAACCTTCAAGCCAAGAAAACAGCAAGAACGAAGGCTCAGAGGCCTGGAGGTGCCTGTGTGTTGGAACAGTAGCCAGAAGGCCATGACCCAGTGAGCCAGGGGGATGAGATCAGACAGTGTCACGGGCCAAGTTCAGATGGAACTTTTTTGGCCAGAGCAAGAACCTGGAAGTTATTCTAAGTGAGATAGAAGCCACTGCGGCCTTTGAGAGGGTCATCCTGGCTGCTGTGAGGACCGGCTAGCATCCAGTTAGGAGACAACCGCAGTAATTCAGGCAAAAGAATTGGTGGAGAAAGACACATGGCAGACCAGCAGGACCAGAAGGGCTAACTGGGGGCCCACTGACTGATCTCATCCCCAGCCCCTTTACTCTGCCCTAGGGAGGGAGGAATCGTCTAGTGCCAGGGACAGAGGCCTGACCCTGTCTTGATGGAAATAGGACACATATCAGAGCAGACAACATTTTTATGAGTACATTTTATTTTATAAAATCATTTAAGAACTTACAAATTTAAATCCCTTAGGGAGCCCAGGTGAAAAGCACCTTTGAACTTCCCAGAGACTGCAGTAGCTTAATTTGAGAATAAAAAGAACAGTGGTTTTTGGCAACCCCTGTGCAGCTTTTCCATTAAAACACCTAAATGCCATGTAGGACTTTGCTGCTTTTCATCTACTTTTGTTCTCTTTGAGGAAATATGAGCATGCCCATGACATACAAGTGGCTCACGGTTGTATGGGGCAGCTGGGGTGACATGGATAAACCTTGGGGATGCCTTAATGAAGAACAAGTTGATGAGGAAATCAGCTCCTCCATAATCAGCTGAACCTTCTGTTGTGTGTGTTCGCAGAGTTAAAAATGTCAATACCAGAGATCTTTAACTGGCTACTCCCTTGGACAAGCATAGCTACTCCCTATGCATCCCAGAAGTTTTGCTGGAGGAAGACTCTGACCTTTTTGTGTGGAGCATTGCGGTGTCTTGCCTGTCTTGGCAATCTCCTTCTTGGTCACTGCCCACTTGGCAATCTTGGAGGGGTCTTGGTGGGAAAAGCCCTTCCCTCTCCACACCATGTGGTTATTATGAAAGGCAACTTCTCATTTTAAAATCATGTGGTTTTAAGCACATGGCAGATGTGGCCGACTGTACCAGGTGGACTACTGCTTAGTGGTGCCTAGTGACAGCCTGAGGAGACAGGGCCCTAGAAATGTCTCTGAAGCTTGGGACTTACAGTCAGTTTATTCACTCCCCATGACTGGGTTGTTGATCTTGGACTTGATCTTCTCATTTTATCCTCTGGAGACTTCTTTCCCTTTTAAAATAATACTCACCATTCTTTTATCTGAATAAATTCAGGATGTGGGGAGAGGCAAGTATGATCACGTGCAGTGACTTGCTTAGGGATGGCAAGGTACGTGACTACAGATAATTGAAACAAATCAGCAACCAATTCAGCCAGCTTTCTTCAGACAGGGAAACGAATTACCACAAAATTATAAGTACCAGACATAGCCTCTAATTCAGAGTGTTCAAAAACAATCCTGATTTCTTCCAGATCACAATTTCTAAAATTAATAGTATGGGTTATAAGGTTTTACCCACTTTAAATAAGAATACTTTATGAAGTACTTGATTGTGTGAAATTTCTAGGTATTTCTATGTGGCTTCACTTATTCTCAGGAGAGACCCTCAGTAAGTTAAGGGTCCCCTAGGAATAAAAAGTAATCTCGATGTTGAAAAAGAAAAATCAGGCACAGAGAGGTTAAGGATCAGCAGCAAATGTTTACAAGACCCACACGCCACACCAGGGGCCAGAGCCCAGGTTTCTGTCACATTCCTGCTCCCTAGCTCCACTCCCACCCCAAGGAGACATTCAAATAATGATTGAAAAAGTCTCTGGACATCAGAAAATTCATGTGATGTGTACATTGTCTAATAAAGTTAAACATTTTTAGGAATAAAAATGATTTAAAATTTAAAAAATTTCAAGGTACTATTCCAATGGCATCCATGTGCAAAGGTTATACGAAACAGCTGAAATCAATCTTAATATTTTATTTAACTCATTATATCCAAAATATAGTTTCAAGGTATAATCAAGAAAGCATTTTTTTTTCGTGGTAAGTCTTCAAAAATCTAGTATGCATTTTATACTTTATTTTTTTAGGATGGTGAATTTTCATTCAAAGTACTTGCTCAGTATTTAGATTTCATAGTATTTACAGTTGAAAAAGCTTGCTCATATATCCAAGTTATTCTAAACATACTTAAAAGTTTTTCACTAAGTTGAGAATTGATATTTAAAATAAAAATCATTTATTTATTTTTATTATTTTAGTTTTTGAGACAGAGTCTCACTCTGTCACCTGGGACAGAGTGCCATGGCATCATCATAGCTTATAGCAACTTCAATTTCTTGCCTCAGCCTCCCGAGTAGCTGGGACTATAGGTGTCTACGATGATGCCCAGCTAGTTTTTCTAGTTTTAGTAGAGATAGGGTCTCACTCTTGCTTAGGCTGGTCTTGAACTCCTGAGCTCAGGAGATCCTTAACTGGCTACTCACTTGGACAAGCACAACCTCCCAGAGTGCCAGGATTATAGGTGGGATCCACCGTGCCTGGCCAAAATACGTTTTTTTTTTTTCTTTTGGCTGGGACTGGGTTTGAACCCACCACTTCTGGCATATGGGGCCGGCGCCCTACTCCTTTGAGCCACAGGCGCCACCCCTCCAAAATACTTTTTAAATTTTATATTTAGTTTTGTTGTTCAGGAATATTTTCTTGAGCCTTGCTGAAAGCAAGGTTTTTGCTGAGCTGCTACAGGATTTTCTGGGTTAAGTCTGTGTTATAAGGGCAGATGGCATTTCACATTTTGGTTATTAACAAAGCAAAACAAGTTGAGATAAGTT